GCAGTGCGCCTGCGACATCACGGCCTCGAGAAAAACCGGGCTCATCGATTGCGACGCAGACGCGTTTGAGAAGCGTGCAGCGGGCCAGCGCGCGGCAGTACTCGTCGCGATGTTGGAAAGGCTCGGAGCGGTGAGGTCGACGGCCGTCACTTTGGTGGCCAACTGGCCACAAACCCGCAGAAAGGCACGTTGAAGTTGGGGTCGCGCGGCCAGCGTCCACTATACCACAGGCCTGTGATGCGCACCGCGTTGACGACGTTGATGATGGCGCCAATACTATCAATTGTGTCGTCGTCGAGGCGGTTCAGGCACAGCACCGGTTAGTGCGTGGCACCGGGCGGCGCCGACAAGAGCTGGAGGACCGCCGCCAGGCCTGGCGAGCGCATCGCGGCTGGCAGCGCCTCGAGGAAGGAGACGACGTCGCGCAGCGCCAGCGTGTACTGGACGATTACCGTGGACACGCCAGCAAGATCAGGCACGGAAGCTTGGACGTGATGAGGCCGTTGGTGGGCCATCGCGAGCCTCGTTGTTTGTGGAAGCTATGCTGATACTTTCGGTACCCGGCTGAAGACGAGTACTCCGAGCGCCCAGGCCTATGGATATGAGCGACAAGAGGAGAAAGAACTATGCTGTATTATCGAAGGAGCTGACGTAGCTCTGTCTTTTTGGAATGAGTTGGCTATCGACTGAGATGAATGCGTTTTGTGCATTTCCCTAGTGCGATAGTCTAACATCATGCATGTCCACACGTCTACAAACGACTAGCTCAGCTATAAGATGCGTAAGACGAGACGGACCCTGCGGGAATCACATCGTCCATGGCTGTATAAACACGATTAATCAAAGACAAAGCGATACTTGGGGCAATAGTACAGAAACACGACGAGGCGCTTGTGCTCTGCGGCCTTGGCGTCCCAGTAGGCGTACGTGTCCCGCTCTCGCTCGCCGCACATGTCCATCTCCACGTACTGAAGCGTCACATTCATCTCTGCCAGCGTCTTGATCTTCTTCGCCTGGCTCGAGATCGGCCACGCTTGCTTCTCAAGGACGATCCAGCGCAAGGCCGGCGACGCCGCCTGGAGCGTCTTCACGAGCGCGAATAGGTCGTCGAAGCAGCGCGTCAACAGGTGCAGTTTAACCGCGTGCAGCTGTGGGCAGCCCGAGAGCGCCGTGGCCAGCCACGTCATCGCCTCCATCGTGTCGGCCACTGCGCTCAAGTATTGCAGCTTCGGGCACTGGGTCAGCGCCGTCGCAAGGGATGCGCCGATGAGTTTGTTGACACTAAACTCGTGCAGATCAAGCTGCCGCAGCGACACGAGCCGCGGCGTGAGCGCGACGAGTCGGTTCAACATCTTTGTATCCAACGCACAGAGCTCGATGCGCAGGGTCTCGAGCCGGGCCAAGACCTCGTGCGTCTCTGCCAGCTGCGTCACGAAGCGGCCTTCCAGCTGCGTGAGGCGCGGCGCTTGGCGCAGCATCGACGATACACTCGTCATGATGGCATCGGAGCAGTCGCGGAAGAAGAGGTCGCGTTGAGTCGACACTATACGCTCCGTTGTCTGCTTGATCCAAGGAATGAGAGCCCGTACCGTCGAGACGCAAGTGCCGCAGCTGATGGGGCAGCTGCTCTTGTTGGAAGAATCGTGTGCTAATGTCGTTTGTCTTTTCAAGGCAGAGGTCGTGCAGCGTCGTGGAGGCTGCGATCGCCTCGCACAACTTTGCTGCGTCGGCGGCGGGCAAGTTGACAAACTCGGCGTTGGCAAGTCCAAGGCGCGTGCACGAGCCTTTCGTTAGCATGGCTGCAATGGCCGACGCGGCGGACGCTGGAAACTTACCGCGTAGCACGAGCGTTCTCAGCTGCGCGAGCGGGAGCGTGGCAAAGACATTGGCGACCATGGACATGGTGATGTCGGCCCAGTGATGCGAGTGCTCCAAGACGAGGCTGTGCAGGCGTGGGCACGCGCAGAGCATACTTTGCAGCGCTTCGATGTGACTCAGGTTCGTGACGACCGTGACGTGGTTGACGACGGGCTGGAGCCGACGGAGGAGCTCCCGCGGCGTCCAGACGTCGTGATCGTCTCTGTTCGTGTCCTTCATGGCTACGATCGCGCCCGAGCCGCTTGTGCCTCGAGCAGATGCTGCAGCG